GGTTCAGGGAGGGGAGGGGAGGGGACGTCAAGGGCGAGTAAGGAGGAAGGGGAAGGGAAAGGGACGTACAGCCCCACTCGCGATGTCCGCCAGCGTCGACCCGTTCCTCAGGGTCCTGCGGGAACTCGCAGTCGACCCAGGACAGGTTCATGCACGGCGGGCGGCCGAACATGAAGCTCTGTGGGCGCGCGCGGGCGCGACGGTGTCAGCGATCGTTAAGGGAACTGTAGAGGTGGGAGGCGGGGGAAAAACACACGCACCAGCCAGGTGTCGCGCACGAACACCTGCCAGAAGACGGCCGCGCGCCGGGTGCCGGCGTCTTCGTCGAGCTGCCACCGCGAGCTCTTTACGTCTGGCGACACAGGAAAGGAAAAGAAAAATCAGGGCGAGGCTCAGGTCAGAGGGGGTTTAACAAGGACGCACGGAGACCGATCTAGAGGGGCGCGCCACACAAAAAGGTGAGCCGCCTGTCTCGGGCCGACAACGTGGAGACAGGGGGCGTAACGTACACTGTGCGACAGCTTGACGACGAAGCCGGCGAGCATCCACGCGTAGTGGGAGACGTAGTGCGGCGTGATGCTGCTGTCGGACCAGAGCTCCTGGAACTGCACCTGGTACAGCTGTGTGCGGCGGCAGCAGCAGCGATCACAATGAAGAAGCGGGCCAAAAAAAAAAGAGAGAGAGCGCGGACGGCGTACCAGAGCCTGTATCGCCCAGAGCGTCGTGTCCTGCACGGGCGACGCGCAGCGCAGGGCGAGGCGCGAGAGGAGGAAGTACTCCGTCGCGAGCGCGGGGTACGGCGGCATGTCGGGGTCGAAGAGCGTCGCGAGCGCGAAGACGATGTACAGCACGGCCGCGGCGTGGTTCGAGACGACGCTGTTGTCGACGCCGATGCTGCAAGGGCGGGCAGGTGAGCGCGCGTCAGCCGGGGGTGCTTTTGCCACGGTGGGAAAAAAAAAAAAGTAAAACCTACGGGAGCGAGCGGTAGATGACGCTGAGGATCTCGTCGTAGAGCTGGGCGCGCGGGATGGGCTGCCATCTGGGTGGGAGGCGGGCTTTCAGTGCGCGCGCATGCAACGTTGGTGGGACAAGGGAGGGACGCACAGGAAGTCGCCCATGTCCAGGAATATTTCTACCAGTCGACAGGCTTGGCCGAGCGTAGGCAGCAGTTGCCATATCTGTATCCTGACCTCGGGTATGTCGCACGTGAGATCAAAAGTCTTGAGCGCCTCGTCGTAGACTTGTTGGCTGAACCGTGGAAAGTCTTCTTTGTGGCATCCGAATTCGGCCCAGCCTCCGTTACCTGGCCCCTGCGAGAGACGGCATCAGGGAATGACACAGACAAGAAACGCGCGGAAGCCCCACATGAACGAGAAACTATGATGGTTATAGGTTAGCATTGCAAGCACGCCAAAGGATCGAAGGCGTCGTTACCTCTGAACGAGAGGTAGAGCCGTAGTACCGCGACTCGCCACGTACACCGAGCGTCAGGGTGCCTGCGCAACCGCTTAGTAAGCCGGCAGACTGGAGGTCTGGACGCACAGACGGACCGAATGCACCAATAAACTCTTCGTCCTCGCGAGACATGGCCTGCGGAGACTCTTGTTCGGGATGCTGATCTGGAGGACTATGGTGAACGGTCGCTGGCACGGGCGTTGCTGTTGGGTCAATGATGGCTGTGGACTCGTCTGTGTCTATGAGGAGCGGATGGGGGTCGTCAGAGACGTCTGCTTGGAGTGCGTGCAGTGCACCCTCGAGTGCTTTGACGCGCCCGCGAAGGCGTTCTACTTTCTTTTGGAGCTCTTCTGCATCTGCGAATGCCAGCCTGCGGCGGAATGATAAGCAGCCATGAGCGGGCCTCGCCGTGTTCTTCTTACCTGTTGGATCTGTTACCGGTGGTCAAAGAGCCTGCAGCTACCGATGAGACGTGTCGCATATAAGGAGGACGGAGTCGCACCTTCGGGACAGATGGCAGAACACCCTCGCTTCACACAAGTCTCGCACGGCACCTACAAGCGTCTCCAGCTCCAGCCTCCCAAGCGACACACAAAGACGTTGCTCGTTCACGAACCTTGCGGTCGCAGCGCAGCTTCAGGCTGGCGACGAGGGAGAGTGGTCAGCGCGCCTGGCGGAAGAGACAGCGAGAGCGTACGGTACCGGCGGCACTCTGCACAGGAGACGGGGACCCTGCCGGGCTTGCGCCTCTGCTTGACGGGCTGGGGAGGCTGCTCGCCGCCGCTGGCGCCGCCGCCGTCCTTGCTGGACGAGGCGGCGCGCGAGGACGGCTCGTGGGACGTTTTGGAGCTTTCTGCTCTGGTCATGATGAAGTTGCTGGGGATGGTGAGCGAGAGGAAGGATGCAACAAGGCGGGCTGCGGCGGGCACGACACGCGTTCTGGTAATATAGCGATCACGCTGGCGTGCCGCTGCCGGGCGCTACTGGACGCGCTGCTGAATCAGCCCTAGATTCGCGCGTGGATCCGCGTGTGCCGTTTATGGCAAGTGACCAAGTCAATGTTTCACTGACCAGAAGCTGATATCATTTCGTTCATGGTTCACAGCGACATGAGACCCTTGACCACCACGATCCCTCCAGTGGCAAGCGCCGTCCAGCCCAGCCCCGCACTCCACGCCTCCGCACCCGCCACACCGCGTTGTCCGACGTAGATCCCGAGCAGGGCGTACACGAGCGTCGACCCAAGCATCGGGCCAGACGTCGCCGCAAGGGCCGGGAACACTCCGTACACGAGGCCCTGCGCAGCTCTGCTCGGTGGTGCCCGCAGGCGCTGGGGGAGGTCATGAACCACATGCACACACACCAACCGAGCACCCTAGTACTCACCGCCGCGACGCCGCCGTTGTCCAGGAAATCCAGGATGCCGATGCCTGCCGTCGTCTTCGCGACGACGTGCGTGGCCCAGAGGAGCGCCGGGCTGCGCGCGCTGAGTGCCGGCAGGCGTGCCACCGCCCACAGCTGCGCCGCCGTGTTCACCGTCACCAGCACCTGCGACAGCGCGAACTCTTCGCGGAGCCAGAACACGAGCCAGCCCGCTTTGCACGTGTGCACGAAGTCAGCTCGTCAGAGTGGTGGCGTCTGCGCGGGACGGCTCACCGATGCACAGGTTGCCGAGGGCGTACACAGGGGCGTACGACACCGCCGCGGCCGCAGCGGCGTCCTCTGCGGTCTGCTGGGGCCGTTGCTTGCCCAAGACGGTGGTCTCGCTCTGCGCCGTGTCTTGGAGGGGCCGCCGGTGCCCCTCGGGCTCGAGCGCGAACAGCTGGCGGAGCCAGTACAGCTGCGCGAGCATCTGGCCCGAGAAGAAGGCCGCGATGAACCACGGGTTCGGCGAGAACGCAAAGTGGTTCTGGTGCCATGCGTCAGGAGGGGGTAGCGGCTATTGGTCCGGGGGTTGCTCACCGCGTCGGCGACGTCCTTCATGTTCGGGCTCGCCAGCATGCCGTACACCTGCGTGCCAAAGTTCACCGCGAACGAGCCGAGGGCCATGTACCGCGCGCGAGAGACGTCGTTGCCCATGTTACTTTGTAAACCACTGTGGTGATTGTTTTTCAATGTCGACGGTGACAGAAGTAGAGTGAGTCGTGTCGCCTCGTCGCCAGGCCGGCTTGCATTATATACCGCTTCCGCCGACAGCGGTCACCGACGTCATGCGCCACGATCCCCAGCGACTGCCAAACACGGCGATCCCGCCCCTTCCCGCCCTCCGAGTCGATCGAGCGACGGATGTCCCATATTAGGAAGCGGGTAGTCACAATGCGAATAAATTAACATGCTTGCAGAACCATTTGTGCGTGTGAGAGTAGTCTAAGATTCGAGTTACGTCGGCATCGTGGGTATTGGAATAGTAGAAAGCGAAAGAAAAAAGCCTAGCAAAGTTCTTCACCCCTCCGTCACCGCAGCGAACAACTCGTCCCACTCCTTCCTGACACCCTCCACCAGCTCACCCACCGCGTCGTCTACCGGCCGTCCATACACCCCCTCCGCGAGCGCGCGCCCCACGAACGGCACGAACACCTCAAAGTACACCGTCCCGACGGCGCGCAGCACCTCTGCGTCCTCCCTCTCCCGCTCGCGCTCCCCCTCTCCGTCCTCCTCCCCCTTCCGCGCACCGAGCCACGCCCTCTCACGCGCATACCTCACCAACGCCTCCCCACCGCCCGCAGCAACGGTGCGCGCCAGCGCGTCCGCGAGCGCGGGGTACAGCGCGACGGGCGCGAGGAGGCGCAGGCCGTTGAGCGCGCCGAGCACCGCGTTCGTGTACGCCGCGAGCGGGGGGTACGCTGCCAGGATGGGCGGCGGGACGTGTGGCGGGGCTGTCTGGAGCGCGGCGCGCTGGGCGGGGGTCGGGACCGGTGGCGGGTGCGCTCCTGCTGTTGCTGCTGTTGCTGTTGCTGTTGCCGCACCGGCGGCAGGGGCGGCGCCCAGGAGGAAGAGCTGCGCAGGCCGTTTCGGCGGCACGCCACGGACAAACGCGAGGCGCGCCGCCCATGCGGCGGCGGCGTCCGCGAGGGCGCGCGTGACGGTGCCCCGGACGGCGGCGACGAACGGCGGGGCGAGGAGCGCGCGGAAGTCGAGGCCGACGCGCGCAAAGGAGGCGGCGCAGTACGTGAGCTGCGTGAGGAGCGCGTGCAGGAGCGCGGCGTCGGCGACGCGCGGGAGCGTCGCGCGCAGGCGCGCCAGCAGCGCCTGGACGTGCGCCGCCGCGAAGAGGCGCAGGAGCGTGTGCAGCGCTGCCGGTGCGGATGGTGCGGGCGGGGACGCGCGCTCGAGGAAGATCGCCGTGTACTGCGTCACGGCGTCGTGCACGCCCTCGCGCCAGACGTCGATGTGGCGCTTGAGCCAGCGCGCGTGCGCGTCGGCGTCGGTGCTGTCGGCGGCGGGGCGGCGGTCGGTGGCGGCGGCGGCGAGGGCGCTGTCGAGGTAGGCGACGCGGCCGGCGAGGAAGGCGAGCGCGAGCGCGCGCTCGTCGAGCACGGCCGTCTTGCGCAGGAAGGACACGGCGCGGAAGAGCGCGGGGAGCTTGGCGTGCTCGCGCAGCGTGCCGAGCAACTGGGCGAGCATCGCCTCGACGCGCGCGTCGCACTCGCCCTTGACGGACTGGACGAGGGCGTTCGCCGGGAAGCGCTGCGCGAGCCCCGCGGCGTGGTTCGCGAGGAGCAGGGCCTCGTTGTAGTTGTGGTTCCGCACGCACGAGTCGAGGAGCATCGGCAGCGAGAGGACGTCGTGCAGCTTGTCGTGCTGCTCGAGCACCAGGCCGGCCTTCCGCCGGTCCTTCTGGATCTCCCGTGTCTCCTGTGCGAACGAGCGTGCGGAGGCTTCCAGTGCGGGCAGCGCAGACAGCAGGCCGTCTAGAGAGGAGGATAGCGACGAAAGCGATGAGGATAGTGTCGATGTAGTTGCGTGCAGCGACAGGAACGTGGGGTACGATGTGTGGCAGAGCGTGGTGAGCGCATTCGTGAGCTGTGCGGAAGAGGACGAGAGGGTCGTGGGTTCAGCTTCGATTTCGGACAGGGGAAGGTCGGTTAGATGCGATAGGTAGGCTGAGAACTCGGGCTTGGCGAAGGTGGACGAAGGAACAGCACTTGAGGATGAGGTCGCAAGCAGGTCGGGTAACGAGGGCAGCTCAGGTGCCGCGTCGTCGTCCACGATTCCTATCCTAGAATCGAAAGCGGCTGCGGTTTCCATGGCGGGAGAGAAATCCCCTACCACACGTCTTGCTGTTGTGTGCGGGATGCCTAGCTTGTGAGTCGTTCGGCACAAGTCCAGTCGACGACTTACAACAAACCCTCAGCGAAAACTAACCCCCTTCCTCAAAAAGATTGTCAACTAGTGCTTTTCAACTCGGACTCGGGCTCTAGCGGACAACTCGAGAGGAGATGCGCGATGATTATTGCAGATGACACGGAGGTCGAGACGAAAGCGCACGGATCAGAAGCGCCCATAACGCATACCGACCTACGCCTAAGCTCTCACTTAAACTCTCACCATATATACGCAGTCTACCCAATTCGCTCCAAATTATGTGTGAACCAACGATACA